TTTGAAAACTTGAAACAGGAGGGGGTTTAACACACAATTCCGTCAAATAACCAATGTGTCTGGCTTTTCTAGGAATATCATTGGTGTAACATCTCTCCTATAAATGTTCTCTAAATGTATCTTAGGAACATAGAAAAAGGAAAAATCAATTGGCGTTATGAAACGTTTGAAGGTCACACATACTCATGAAACTAAATGCAACGATTTTATACTGAGCCTACTGAAAACATAAACCCTCTTGTCTATTTCAGTATGAGTGTGAAAAACTAGGGGCCTATTTGGTTACCATAGAAACGGAAGAAGAAAATTCATGGTTAACAGAAACCTTTCTACCAGTTTTGGATTCTGGTACATTTTGTTTGTTTGTTTGTTTGTGTGTTTGTATATCTGTCTGTTTGGTTGTTATAATGTATGTTTTATTTCGAATTTATGTTTTATGTAGCAAAGAATAATTTGTAATGGGTTAAACTTAAGGTACTTCAAATGTTAATTTATTCCCATTTGACGCCTAGAATCAGCATAAATAAAATAATATTTTACTTTTATTTTTTTGTAACTAAAGTAAGTCAATTTAGGTCCTTGGTGTGTTATATTTTTAAATGATGTGCAAATGTTCACTGTTTAATTTCTTCTATTTTCTGGACACAATTATTATGAATTTATGCACCTATACCTATAAATAAAAAATTTTTCCAAATAAATTCCGAAACGGCTGCACAAGAGTTTTTAAATACTCCTCTAGGAATACACAAGGTATACTTTGATGTCCGTAAACTATATTCATATTTCAGTTGCATAGTTATTATCGTAAATTAAATTAGGATATTGATATTGGACGATATTCACTGGTGAATTATATTATTCATGTGGACACTATTCAGTGGGTAATTGGATATTGGATGATAGTCAGTGATGGACTAGTTATGTAGATATTATTTTAAATTTTTAGACCTACTTGTAGCAATCAAATATAACCTATCATTTTGTCGTATTCGGATGACTGTTCCATGCCTATTGATAATACTATTACTGGTTTGTTAGGGATTTATTTCGTGGATAGGTAAGTATTGATTATTTATATTTTGTGGTGGACATGAATTCGTGAGTCATACCTCGTAAACAACGAAACCAAAACCCGCGAAAATCAATTATTTTACAATTACTACATGTAGTTCTAATCCACCACTGAATATCATTTAAGTAACTACGGAAGCGTTTTAGTGCCACGTGGACACTTAATTAAGGCCCCGCAAGGATTTGCGGGTGCCCTATAGTAATCACTCTGTCTGTCCGTCTGTCCGTCTGTCATTCTTCCGTCCACAAATTTTCTGTTTTTTCCTAATAACTTTTTTTTATGGTTGACCAATTAAGTTCAAATTTGGTATGGTAGTTCAGAAGGCAGAAAGACATATTTTGATGCTAAGTTTGTTTCTCTATGTCCTCTGGTTTGGAGCTGGGGTGGTGGGGTAGATTCCTTAACTTTATATAAGAATGAATTGGCAAAGAGAGATAACTGCTGAAGATGTTCCCATTGTAAACTGAATACTGCAATGAGTCCATTGGGATTAATTAGCTTTCCTCCTGAAGAAAATCCAAAGCATTATCTTTATCTGTCACATTGAGATGAATTACCACCTCTGTCTGCAAATGAAATTTGTAGTCAATTTGGAATGCTATGAAAACTCTGAAACATGGAGTTAAATATAAATGTTTATACTTTATTTTTGTTAAAATATCCTACACAATGAGTTCTGATTTCATTGAATTCTAAAAATATTTGCTTTATGTAAATTCAAGAATATTATTATCAATTTTTAAGGTACCTTGATAAAAACCTCATTCTATCATTAATGAAAAAGTTCTTCTTGTGAATTTAAATGAAAATGATGAGAGAGAAGTACAATTAATCCCTTGGGATTAATTATCTAGCCAGACTAGCCTGCTGCAGAAAATTTGGAAGGCTTATCTTTAGCTGTCACTTTAAGATTAATGAAAACCTTTTTCTGCATTTGCTGTTTGTTTTGAAGTTAAGGCCAAGCCTTCATGATATTTGCATTCATTGAAGGAACATATAGAGTTGTTCTGAATTGTTTTGAATCATTCCGCAAGCTGCACCCTTATAATTCTATCCCATGGCGGGGCCCTTGCTGACTGGTCAGTTTTCTAGTTTTTTTATTCTTCATTTTAATCTGAAAATTGTACACTTTATCTGTATAATTTACACTTTAATTTGTAAATTTTACACTTTAATCTGTAAAATTTACACTTTAATTTGTCAAGTTTACACTTTAATCTGTTTAATTTACATATGAATCTGTAAATTTAACACTTTAGAGTGTATAATTTACACTTTAAAATGTAAAATTTACATTTTCTGTTCAATTTACATAGTTAATATGGCAACTTTATGCATCGTAAGTAACACATTTTAAAGCCAACTAACCATGAATTATGCATGTTAAAATTCAATTCTGATTTTTTTTTATTTAACACTAAATGCAAATAGTAAACAAATATAGTATGACTGATACAAGTAAGACTTTCTTAGAATATAGGTGAAGAGCAAATCAAACACAGCTGGCTATATTCTCAATGAATATGATATTGATATCATCATATGCAAATTCGTTTAATGCGCTCAGCAGTTCAATTATTGAAAGCATTAATTGTATTACATTATACATGTATACTATTACCGGCAACAATTAAATTACTTTTTGAATTGAAATTTTTAGATAATCATAAATTAATAAAGTATATACATATATAAATAATAAAAGTATATGAGTTTTCATAAATTTTGGAACAGCAAAGGAATTTATATCATTGGATTCAATGACGTTTCTTGATTGCAACCTTTCAAAAATGACAGTAATTTGAATGTTATATTTTATATCATCATAATCATAGAACCATAAACTTGCAATATCAATCAAAACTGCAAATAATAAAAAAAAAATCCTCGATATATATATTTTTCTTTTTCATCCCACTATAGTTCAACTAAAGAAATTTACTGAATTGAAAGCAGATTCTCGATATGTTGCTGGGGGAAAATTAATAGGCCCATGAGTGAATCGCACATCCTTATCTATCATATAAACATGTACATGTAAAATAACAACTATGCAGACAAGTGTGAATATCTCAGTTTTATCTGTAAAATTTACAGATTCAAGTGTGTAAATTTTACAGAATAGAGTGTAAATTGTACAGATAAAGTGTAAATTTTACAGATAAAGTGTAAATTTTACAGAAAAAATATAGAAAATTTACAGATGAAATTGTAAACATTTACAGAATAGAGTGTAAACTTCACATTTTTCAGCGGGATGTAACCCTTGGTGGATTTGTTGTTCGCACTGGATAGGTGCAAACGATATTGACAAGGAGAACCTATTTGTCTGGGCAGAAAACAACAATAACGTCACTTCCTTTTCCAACTGGCACCCGGATGAACCTGATGACATTGGCGACCAGGACTGTGTACATCTGTGTCGTAGCGGGATTTGGGGAACAACCCTATGCCACGAGTTGTATTCATACATATGTGAAAAAGACTAAAAAATATTACAAATTGTATAAAATAGTCATAAGGTCAACAATAATCAGGCAAACCATTAAATAATGCAGAAACCTGTGAGTAAACCTGTTATTCGGTACATGTATATCTATTATTTACTGAATAAAAAGAATTGTAAAGGAAATATATGTTGTTTTTCAATGAATTCTAACAAGTCAAATGTAACTTGTCCTTAAATACCCCCCTCCCCAATGCTTGAAAAGTGAGAGAGTATGTAGAATAAAATTTAATATTATCATTCCAAAATGCTTGATCGACCGTAGTAAAGAAGATGGGGAATAAGGCGGGCAGATGCATATAGCGTCGTATATTAAGTAATCATATTCAGTATGTGAATTGAGTATTTAAATTAACTTCTCATTATTGAAGTTTATGAAGTTACGAGAAAAAAAACCTTTTTTGAGAGAAAAAAAATCTCGTAATTTTTTTTCTTTTATAAAATTATGGTACAATGTATTCATGGGATTCAAACCCTTAGCAATAAAAATCCGACATATCATACTGCTTTGAGACTAACGCGCTAACCACTATGCAAAATGGCTCATAATGATTTTAGACTTTTAAATCATGATTATATGATTATGATGACCCTTGACTTAATGGACTTGAAATATTTCTCGAGAAGATGCGAATATTTTGTCATAAAAGTTTTTTTTTTAAGGTATTGTGGGTCTTTGCTTCATGTTTTTGTAAACCAAAAAATGTATATTTTATTGCAAACTTTCAGGAATATCTTTCAAGAAAATTGAGCGAAGACTCACTCAAATTGAAAAAGTTTGTTAAAGTATGAAAAATGATCGTTTGTTCTTTTTAGTGTTTTAAGTGTGTATGCTTTTTTCATGGGTAAATATGTTCAGTCTTGGTGAGATTATAGTAAATTGTAGAGATTTTACATTAAGTATACTTTGATATTAGATGAAATATCACATAAAATTTGGATATAATTGAGATTAATTTTTTCACTTCATATCTGTCGCACTATAGGCACTTCGTCCGCCTTATCCCCCAACTTCTTTCACAAATTGATTACCATATCATTCATTGATTGGATGTTTGCCTTTATTGAAACCAATGCTACTTTGCATAGAATCTAACAATACCCAGATAACACTGACCAATAGTTTTGAATGGTTGTTTTCCAGCGCGGCATTTCTAGTCACCGGCAATACGTGGTCAGTAAAAGCCTGTTTACTGTCTTACAAAAAACGTGTCATCTTTGTTGTGATTTGACCGAATTGAGTCTGCCCTTATAAAACGTACTTAAGTCTGAGAATGCTCTCAAGTCCAAGAATTTTCTCAAATCAAAAATTCTCAGACTCACTGACCGTCATAAAAATGTTGAGAAAAATAAAAATTACTTAAACTCTGTTTTATTCTCAAATTCTCAGCTTCGTAATTCTTAAGACTTGAGTTGAGAATGTTTTTGAGAATTCTCAGTTTTATGACGGCGGACCCTGGTCTCCCAGAGCCAAACATGGTCCTCGCCATTATATCCATACAGGACACAGGAGTATCATTAAGTGAGCTCATTCCTCACAATAACTCTTTTTTGACATAGAGTTTTTGGATAAAGTTTTTGGATAAAATTAGATTTGATTCCATGAATTTTTTAATGTTAATGTAATTTATGGCATTGATTCCCAAGGTGTATAAGTTTTGAATTCATTACTTAACTCTTTACAACTTACTGAACTGTAATGTAACATACACTTACATATGTAATGTTCACGTCATAGAAATAGAAATTTAGCATTTCCCCGCAAGCACAATATAGCGTGCTACACTTTTCTCCAAAGTTTAACGTAAATAATTTTATGACGTAATATTTTTATACAAAAATGCTTTTTATTTTTTATGAGATTTTTGAAAGTACGAAATAGAATGGAATTTGCATTTAATTAAGATTAAATGAACTATTTAGTGTGCGTGAAAATGCGTGATTGTAGGGAAATGGGATATATGCGTGATTTTGCGTTAGAAATAGGAAATGATGTATGCGTTAAAATGCGTGACTGCGGGGAGGGGGTTAATACATTTCTTGATTTGATAAGATGTCCTGCATAAAAAGCATATTTTGATTTACCTGGTAATTATGGGGAAATGTTATTTTTTATGCCCCGTAATCGAAGGTTCAGCGTTTTATATTTTTTGACATCGTCCATCTGTTTGCCTGTCTGTTTTAACCGTGTCCTTACTTTGTGACTGGACTGTACTATTGGTTTTGTATTTAAGGTGGAATATCCCTCTGATAAGAGAGATAACTCTTCTGATAAGATAAGAGAGAAGACTTTCTGCAGACATTAAGTCATGAAATCAGTAAATTTTCATGCCAGAGTTTACAAATTTGCATTTATATGAACCATTTAATAGGCAACTCAATCAAACATATTCTAACGTACAGATAATTATTTCTAGTTTCTATTGCTATTATATTTATTAATTATTTATAATGGTTTACCTAAAACATTTATACTCAGGTCCTTTAAACGGTGTAAATTGAGAAATTTCTATCTCTTAACTTGTAAGTCTTTCAATTGTACAGAAATTTTAGATGCAAAGTTGTTTATCAACACTAAATTAATATTTTGTTTCATTAAAATATATTTTCAAGGGCGATAATGGAACGATAACTCTTGTTTATGGATGCGTATTATTTTACATGCACAGAAAACAATTTGATATTCTGATTTAAAAAGCAACGCTTCAGTATGTTTTCTAATGAAAATTAGGTAAGTATGAGAGTAAATATTATTTTTATATATACCTCATATTTATAATTTAATTGTGAGATTAAAATAATTGATCTTTCCATTTGCCATATCAAATTTTCTTCACATCATGATATGACATATAATTCATTTCTGAAAAATTAAGCAACGCTTCATACTTCAAACTATTTTCCATTTGAATTTAATGCTTTACTTGTTGCTGAAAATCAATATTTGGAATTTTTAAAAAAAGTCGTGAAATTTAGAGCAGAGGGATATTGCCTCTTAAAAGGTGAATTGCTTATTACAAGACCTTCCTTTGGGAACCACCAAATTTGACCTCTTGAACCTGGATTTTAAACCATTTTTTCAATAAAAACCAATTTCGACATCACTTAGAACTCGATAATAAAAATAATTTAGTTTAGATTCGGAGTGTTATGATATTTGAAGCATTGAGAAACACAACGAATTGTCATTAATAAATCATTTGATACACTAAATACTTAATCACGGAACAGCAAACCGTTTGTTTTGTTAACATGATTTATTAATTGGTGTTATCATGCTTGCTTAGTAAATATTTTCAGCATCAAAGAAAAAAAAAATAGTGGGTTATCAATCAAGCTAAATATTTGTTTACAAAACTCTAAATTGTTATTAATAATGCAATAGTATGAGCATTGCTGTTAAAATAACGCGGGAAAGAATAGCCTGGGAGCTCCTACCAAAAAAATTCTATAGTTAAATGTAATTAACTATCGTTAGCCAAAACAAACTATAATTAGCTAAAGTTAACTATACATAATAAAAGTTTTCAAGATAGTCAATCAGATTATTTTACTGTGAGTTTTAGATAGATATATTCTACTTTCCGAACATCCCAGATGTAATTTTCTGAAATTTATATTAAATGAACTTTTCTTTTATATTTATATAATTTATCAAACAATTAGATAACTGGTATGTAATATGTATTAAAGAACTCTTTATCTTCAAAAAGTTCTAGAGTAAAACTTCAAAGTAAATCAAAGTATCAGAGTATTTACTATAGTTAACTGTAGTAATGTTTTTTGTACAAGGGAGGGGTATTATAATCCGTGTGTTACCTGATTCCTCTGAAGTCCAAATGTGTCTTGTTTATAGCGCCTAGACAGAAGTTCTGTAAGATTTACTTATCTTCACATGAAGTGGTCAGTTTCATGGAATTTAAAAAGGTGCCTAGAAGTCACAGAATTCGAAGTGTTTAAAACTTTGGGGTTGAACGTTTCACGTTGCCGTTTTAATATACAGGTTGAAACACTATCTTAGTATTAAAAAGGAATCTGCATTTTGGTAGATTACAGCAAATACAGAGTTGTCATTATACAGTATCGTATCATTAATCCATGTTTTCAAACTTATGGCTTAATTCAGAATTCATTCATAAATATGTAAATGACTGTGAAATCACTTATTTTGGTTGGGTTTAATTTTCCTTGTTTTCGCGCTATGAAGAGACCAACGAGTTCATGCCCACCAAAATGTAAAATATCACATACATTTATTACTTAAGACTTCTTTATCCCCAAAATCAAATCCCTATAAATCCATTTTTCTCAATTCACAAAAAATTGACATCACGAAAATAGGATTTTATAATTTTTATTAAGGATTAAATCAAAAAAATGTCATAGACTATTTTCCCTGAATTTTTCAGCTAAAAATACTTAGAATTTAATTTTCAAAATCGAGAGCATGATTTAATGGATCGCTTTGAGCCTTAAGAATAAAATACAAAGACTCTCAAATCAATTCCGAGCTTTTTTAATCGACTGAGTGTATGGATATAATTCTCAGAGGTTTTAGAAGTTGCCACAGATTTTTCAATAAAATCAAATCGATATATATTATTCTTTTGTACAATTCAAAATACTAAGAATAATCCATGCTTTTGCAATCATCATTAAGTGTTTTTTTATTGCTTTAGATAATTCATGCATCGGCTGAATAACAATGGTAAACTTCGAAAAGATTTAAAAAAAGGAATTCTTGAACTTCTAGAGACATATAAGAAGCAAAGCAAAAAAGAAGACAAAACCGGATTTAGGATAGATATGGTAACGTACTATTAGTGAGGATATAATTCAGGCACTAAGGATAATAAAGATACATATATAAATTTTGTTAGAATGCTGCAATTGATGGATGACTGAAAAGAAGTTCAGATTTATAAATAAAACTTAATTTTATACTTTAAATTTTTAGCACTCTCACCATGTTCGGATGTGTCATCTATATGATTTTGTGCTCTGTGTTGACTACAGCTAATGCCATCCAGTACGAGTCTCACTATATCGCGGACACTGACTTAGATGACGTTGTATTCTATGATTCTCTCCTGTCCGTGCACCGTTCGGACTCTCTGACGCTGTGTTTCGCTATGTGTGGCCAGAATTGTAACTGTCTCGGCTACAACTCTGAAAGAAAGAAGTGTCATCTGTATAAATCGTGTGATTCTGTGAGTAAAACTGATAAAGAAACTGGGTGGAGGTATTACAACTCAAAGTTGGAAGGTATGTAATACTGATGAAAAAAATTGTATCTCAAGCCTTAAGGGTAGTGGATACACACAATAAAAAACATGCTTGGATTGGCTTATATTATGGCCCATTTTGGTTTTAAATGATTAGAAAATATATACATATATACATGTTTCTAAAATATAACAAAATTGTACACTTTTTACGATGATAAGATTCCATGTGTCTGCAACCATCCTTATATATCTATATAAATTTGCGTCACGAAATGGAAAGTAAAAAAATGATTTAACTTACTGTGAAATAACAAATAATTTTCGTTGTTTTCAAGGTGTGAAGAGATCCACGAATTCATGTCCACCACGAAATGTAAAATGTTACATACATACTCAACTATTCTTCATCCACGAATTCAAATTCCCACAAACCAAGAGTTTTTACTCAAACCACCAAAATTTGAACCCACCAAAATATATGATTTTTTCAGTATTCAATTAACGTAAAAAATAACTTTTGTTGTAATTTTTATAATCCTTTTATAACGAATTGTTAGAGAACACTGTCAAATGTGTACAGTTATAATGTATATACAGTTAAACTTGTGTATCTCAAACTCCGATATCTCAAATACCATGGATATGTCAAAGTGATTTGGAAGTCCCAACTACATATTCCTTAAGTATTTAATCTTGGATATCTCGAATCCTCGGATATCTCGAAGTTCTTTCTCAGTTCCATCAGGTTCGAGATAACAAATTTTGACTGTAGTATATCATTGTATCACAAGTATCTATATTAAAGTACAATCACTTTAAAGTACAGACCAGGTTTTGGACTATATAGATATATACATTTATCCCGCTTCAGACAAATTTGTAGATTACTGATTGATAAAAGCTAATCAAGTGGCTCCCTGAAATTCTCTGCATTACGTCGCCGTCATGGAGTAATATGAAAATTGGGCACGCGATTCCGTTCGAGGCGTTGTTAAATAAAAATGGCGGCAAAGAAACGGATTGCGTAGGTAATTTAGTTGAATTTCTTGTTACGATATTTTGTGTTGATTGTAAATGGATTAAAACTTGATATTTTCATAATATGCACATAGATTTTTAGACATTTAAAAAAAACGTCTTCAGTAGGATTCGCCTCGCCCAATACGGGTTTCCATGTCACATCCTGTATGACTCCGTATTAAGTCCCTTACTGACTGTGTAACTAATAGTACATCCAAGTTTTGTGTATTTTATCTTGGACTTTTCATTACATTCAAAAATTAAAAAAACAAGCTAAAGTAAAAACTATTAACTATATATGATCTTTATAGAAGAGGGTTGGCTATTGTATAGAACCCATTACTACTTAGAAACCAAGAATAGTACCACGTGGCCAAATGCCAGGGTAAGAATAATCGGGATGTCTGTTATAATGTTATCATAAAACCTGACAGAAATAAATATACGTGCCTCAAAAATCTTACAGATTCATTTTCTTATTATTCCATCCTATCAGTCTATTGGAAATTAAATAACATAATCTGACTATTTCAGTTTGAGTGTGAAAAGTTAGGGGCCCACTTGGTTTCCATAGAATCGGAGGAAGAAAACACGTGGTTAACAGAAACTATCCTGCCAGCCTGGGATCCTGGTACTGGTTTTTTAAAATAAAAAATTATGTCCTGCTGAGTTTGTAACACAAGATTTGATTGGTTAGCAAGCCAGGGGCCCATTTTACAAAAACTCGAAAATTGTATGTCGTAAGTCGTTCGATTTATAGTAGGTCCATTTTTTATTGTCTGACTTCACAGCGTCAGGCTGTATTAGGATTGATAATTGCTTGATCCGAAACTAATAGATCATACCCAGAGAGCTAGATTTTGTGCAAGCTGATTTACATTGGAAATCTTTTACCTGCATTTTAAAAGAAACATTTTTCAGGGAAACAAAGATTTTACTGATGCAAAATAATGCAGTATTTACTTTGTTTACTCTATTTGCATGAAACAGATTATTCCATATGATTTACTGTTTCAACGTGTCCGTGTATCTTTTTTTCTGCATTTCTTTACTACTGGATCAGTCCATTTATATTCTACGAAAGGGGTGAATCGCTCTTTTCGCGCCAAATGTCACGAGTAAGCGATCTTCGCGCCTTTTCTTGGATTGTTCTATTGTATCAATGGGGGTGCTAACGTCCATGGAATCAAATAAAGTTTGTTATTGTTACCTTCATCTTCTCATGATTCAGAAATTCTGTCTACAAATTTTATCTTATTCCTTAAAACAACATATGAATCGTATGTATAAGAATATGGACATGCAATACAAAAGAAATGATTTCTCTAATTTGTTTCCTCTCTGTTGGTTTATTCCAAATTTTAATGGACTAGTCCAATCACCACAAACGATCGACGCAGTTCAACCAGATTCCAGACGATTTGACGAAAGAAATTACCTGTGCGAAATCTTGGATTTCTTTTCCACGAAGGCCTAAATGTTGGTTTTACCTATTTTGTTCTCAAAAATTATAGTACCCACCTTTCAGTAAAAAAAAGATCAATGAACACAAACTACTACTGTTTACTTCATTGGAGAAAATACTTTCCTACAAGATATGTATTTAGTTATATCCATTCTCTAAAATGTTTACAATGAATGATTTGACAACAGATTAAAGAATATGTGTAGCTTTAAATTTAGATCCAGGGGTAGATCAATCTACTTGCAGAAAAGTCAATCGCATTATCTCGGGTCTTTTCCTCAGAGGTCGAAAAACAAAATCGAATGTATCGACATCATCGGATGTTAAAAATTTCTACATTTCCTGTTCATAGTAAAAACGGAGTTAGAAGTCCCTTCTGTAGTATATTTTAGATAATATCATTACATTGAATAAAGTTATTTCCATATTCCACAGATAATAGGTCTATATACATCATCAATGCTTTTATTTCAAAGTTCGTGAAAAGGGGGGGGCGGTGTCATGGCGTATAAATTAACAATACATTTGTGGTTTTCTTCCCTAGATAAGGCACGAGGAGTGGGACCGAGGAGTTGCGATTGGCAGAAAACCTACATACATTAACATTCTAACAACAACAGAATGCAGCAAAGGCATCATTCTTCTACAAGTTAAATAATTAAATATTTTTACAAGGTTCTCAAATAAAAAGACATATTTCACACACAAAAATGTATTGCTCAAACTGTTTATCACTTCTCTTACAGATATTGCTTGATTAAGTCAGGCAAGATTTTTGAAAAGCTGTTACTTGTGCATATCGTAACTCCTTAATCGCAAATTTCCTCGTTAAGTAATATCGAAACTCTTTCGGGTTTGGAGGTGTGAAAATAATATTGGATACCGTGCGAAACCAAACTGAAACGTACTGTCGGGCAGACGATTTATTTCCAATATGGCAATGAAAGATAATTGGAGTGCTAGTGAAACCGCTTCGTAAGTGGACGGGGTGTCAGAACGAATTGGCATAATAAAGGGGAAACTTTCTGCCTTTCTGAAAATAGACAAAACACAAGCATGGGGGGAAATTGGGGGAGAAGACATAACTAGTGAGATTTACTAGTATTCCCACAGTATTTCACCAATCTTACAACAATTTTATAACACATTTGTTGAAAAAAAAAAGTTATATGAATTCTATCAAATGGCTATTTGAGAAATGGCTATGAATTCTTTATAAACTACTAAATGGATAAACTTAAGTATAAAACTTTAATGTCTTAACATCCTTCTTTATAATACAAAGTACCTTCTCATACAAGGCATTGTTATGTCATTGTATTATGACGTCACAGTAATGAAAACCAGCTGCAGTATCTGTTTTCAGAAACATCCAGTCTATAAAGACTATTGTGACGTCAGCAGTATTGTTGTTTCCCAGAAGAATGTTTCCAATTTTAGAAACAGCAGGTTTATAAAGAAACATCCAGTCTGTAACACATTTTATACTTGATCATGTGATCCAGTTTGAGCCAATCAGATAGTTGGAACAACAAAGAAAAATAATAATTACATTTAATGCATGTATACATACTTGGTCAATATTTACACAAGTGAACCAAGTGAACACATTACTCATCATACTAGTCATTTGATCAACATATTCATTTGAGTGTTAAAGTAGAAACAATTTCTGCAAATTTTCAACATCATCGATACAAACATTGAGATATTTCAGACAAGTTGTTTTTACTGGGGGAAGGTGAAATGACTTGAATTTTTTTTTTTGATGAATGTGACACAATACATCCTCCTTTTTTGGAGCTACTTAGCCATGTATTTCGTTTATAAAATTTCATCATTTGCACTCATTACTTTCTTCTTCTGCCTTTTATAAAACACAATCTGGACAATTGACTGCTCTCTAACATTCTTCCCGTATTATAGACAAGTAATTGTTCACTTTCTGGGAGAATCATTTTCTGGATTTTAAAGCCAAACCAATTCATTTTCCTGTTGGCTCTTACTGAACTCCACCACTGCCTGTTCCTGATAGGACACTTTGCAGTTTGTATCAGTTAATTGTGAAACTCTCTAATGCTTTGAACAATTTAGTAGCATACAAATTTGCTGTGATGTTCTTACTTGATCTTGAATTTGTATAATAAGTGAAATTTCCAACTGCCAAATATTTTTCAAATTTCAAGATTGAAAATTCTTTTTGGTCTGATGAATATTAACAGGAGTTATACATGTATTGATGATTACTAATCCCTTTGCTTGCTGTAGTGTTTCGACAAATTTCACAACTGGTATTTTTCACTTGATCAATCAGATCATGGTTTTATTAAAATGTCTTTTCAGTTCTGCTCCATTGTTCCTGCTTTCTTGGGAAAACTGCATAACCTATGAAACAAAATGCACCATGAAATGAAAAGAAATATGTCCTCCTTCTTTGAGTATATATTAGTAAAATATGACAACAGAAAGAATAATATTTTGTACATGCCAAGAAACTGCTAAATGGAGGAAAAGTGAAGTTGGATCATTGGAAAGGTCTAAGCAAGAAAATAATGACAAAATGATTGCTGTCATCAACACTGATTTTAAGAATATTAAGTTATAATTAAAACAAGAGGCCCATGAGCCACGTCGCTCACCTGAGCACAGTGGCTAGCATAAAAGCAGAAATTAGTTTATTATTGAGAAGTTTTAACCCAAACGTAGTCCCAATCATTCCTGAAAGGCGAGAGGGTATGATTTGCACAAACTTGAATCAACACTACCCGAGAATTCTTCCATCTAAATACATGTATGGCCAATCACGGCTTTGCTATTCTTAAAAAAAGATTCTTAAAGAATTCTCCTATATATTTCTATGTAAAACTTTGGTCGGCCATTGTGGCCCTGCCCTACCCCCGGGGGTCATGATTTGAACAAACTTGAATCTAAACTACCTGAGGATGCTTCCATATAAATATATGATCATTCATGGCTTTGTTATTCTTGAGAAGAAGATTTTTAAAAAAAACTTTTCCTATACATTTCTATGTAAAACTTTGGTCGGCCATTGTGGCCCTGCCCTAGGGTAAATCATTTACATTTACACTTAGACTTAATCTGTAGATAATTAAATTAGTGTGATCAAGAGAATAGCAAAAATCAACTTTTTCTGTACCAAACAAAGTAAGAAATCACTGGGTTTATCATTATAACAAAACTGTGTTACTGAACATGCTGAACAGCTCTATTAAAGAGCATTTGACTATTATAATAAATGGGTTTTTTTTCAAATAAGACTTCTAAAATATTTTTTTTCAGATAACAATTCTTACCATTTAAATATGGATCAGGACACTTGTCTTTTAATGTATTGGGGTCCAAAAAAATCCTCTGCATGTTGACAAATGTTGCAACAAAACTTAATCAATAGTAAATTATTTATAACTTTACCAAAACCCAGGTTTGTTATACAATTTGAATAATTTGGACCTCTCCAACATATGGTATGCTAATTAAATATCATATTGTGCATGCTTAAATGTTCTGTATAAACTTTCTGTTATGAGTTCATATCATAAATTACCTTTCTAAAATATAACAAAAATGTGTATTCATTTTGAATACATTAATTGTTAAAGTAAATTTGATAGAAAAATATGTGTGATAATATTTGGATAAAAAAACTTTTCCTTCTTTGAATACCTGGTACTTTTAGTAGAGCAAATTATACTATGTCTTTCAAAAAAAAATTGTTCAATGTTTATGTGGTAGGAAAGGAGAAAAAAGTGACAGACAAGACTGGGATTCGAAGCCGGGCCCCCTGAGTCTCCTATAAGTTCTTCAATTAGGCTATCTGGTCAGCAATTCATACCTTTTGATCAACTCAACAACAGATACATAGTCTATTCAAGTCGTCCTCATTCGAAACACAAAGTTAATCGTCTTTTTGTGAATTTTATCAATAGAATTAAAAACAGGAAAAGCAGACATGAAGAATATTTTTCTTTACCATAGAAAAAACGACTAATACAACAACTTTTTAAAAACTTGCGACAGCCTGGAATACAAAGAATATTTGGGTGAATGGTGGATTTCCCCCGGGTTGTGCAGTATGGAATTGAACTCCCAAAACACCTTTGATTAAACCTGGATAACTAATAGGATCTTTTAGCTTGACATTAGCGCCTACTCCTTACGAATCCTTTTTTGATAGTCGTCCATTACAAAGTTAACTTAAATTCTTCTTTTCAATAAAAAACTTTCAGTGGAATGTAGTGAATGGTGGATGTGCTGTTTACATTGGATAGGTGCAAACGATATCGACCAGGAGGGGAGATTTGTCTGGACAGGAAACAACCGTGACGTCACTTCCTACTCCAACTGGTACCCCAATGAGCCGGATAATACTGGAGAACAGGACTGTGTTCATCTGTGTCGTCAGGGGATTTGGGAAGATGCCGGCTGTGATGTAATGAGTTCATATATTTGTGAAATGGATTAAAAAATGTCACAAGTTGTGAAATAGTTGGATTATCAACAATTCTCAGAAAAACCATTGAGAATGTCTTCATACATGGATGAAAAAGATCAAAGATCTACATGCTGTTTGTACATAAGCAGAAATGATTTTTTTAATATGCCAAATCAAGAAATAATAAACAAAAATTATAAGATGGATTAATAGATTGATTTTTTTTTATTGTTTTACATCTTGTTTGCGAATTTCCAAATCTTATTTAGAACACCTGGCAATGAATAGTTGCTTCCTGTATTGTTTTACCAGCATAGGTCAGTTGCAGCCGAGGTTAGATATTAGAGAGGTTGAGATCTTAAACTTGTACGCGTATGTGTACTTGTATATATTTTGACGTAAACGTACACGTTTTTTTTAAATTTGTCTGTTGAGATTTTTATGACGTGTAACATATACGTGTACACCGCGATCGGTGTTTTTAAAAGTAAACAAAACTTGATGAAAATAAGTGCTCGCGAAAGTAAACATTCTATTTAATGTGTATCAATCACATTTTCACACTTAAATTGGCTAATTTTTATCATTAAAGCTACACGTTTTCACTTACGTGTAGATTCCATTCTTCAAGTTTTACGAACGTGTAGCAATCTTGACGTTACTAAAATTGATGACGTAATACACACAGAATTTAGAGAGTACCCGTACACGTACACGTTTGAAATCTCAACCTCTCTATTCCGAGCAGAAGTGAAAAATTGTAAGTGTTTTTAAAACTTAAACTGGTTGAATGTTCTGAAATTCAAATACATGTACATGTTTATAATAAAGAAATATCCTCAAGAGAGCAATACATTTACTTCATTAAAAAATTAAACATTCTAAGCTCAAGGTATATTGACTATTGAGTGTGCGGCAGCAGACCCATCAACTCAATACTAAGCCCCAATTCTAAACCTTTAAATCTTCCTCTTGAAAACTTAACAGGTTCCGCCGTCAGCAAAATCCCTCAATTAGATATTCAGTTTCATTTCTAACCTTTTCAATTCACGACAATTATACCCCCACCCTCAAGTCACCGTTACCATACTAAATTAAGTTATCCTTATCAGAATTTTTAGTAAATACTCAAAAAATTTAAGAATAACTCTATTGCAAAATTACAATCTTACATGTTCCCAAGGAAATTAAAATGTCGGAAATACGTAGGAGACGACGGAAGACCCGAATGTAGGGTAGTAAAAGTTATTTTAAATCTGATGTAAGTATACTCACAGATGACGGACTTGACAATCGTTTTCCATGTTGGCAGCCCTTAATCATCTATTTGCTGATTTTGATAGAACACAAATAAATAAACACCACAAAAAATCAAACCTTACCCCCACTGTTGCAGCTTTTGCTTTATGTGCGTTTTCTGAGTACGGATGCTTTTCATATATTGACTGGGGACAGGATAGACGTTTGTCAGTGTACATTCGGTAGATGTCGTCTTTCGCTGACCCAGGCCATCAACGACATTCGGCATGACTTTTTTGAAGGTCGCTGGTAATTAGTCACTCAGCGACTCTCTACCATCGGCTTACATTTACCTCTGTCTTTTGGCTTGTCAATGCGTATATCACGGTATTGAAATTGATATTTACTAAATCAATCCAGAACTATTAATTAGATTTGAAACTATTCTGCAAATATCATGCTTTATACGTTTCGTAAAAAGAAATCTTGACATGAGCCCATTGTAGATGTGTCTGAGAAAGGAACGAAGGACAATTCTGCATGTGAGATGATATATTTATCTGTTTCATCGTAACTAATCTTTTAGTGAAAAAAAGTATTGTGAGCATATAGAAATAAATCTAATTATAAAAGGAAGCAAAATTAATGGAAATAAATAAAATATCAGTAACAGTTGTTACCGACTGTTGGTCTATGTTTATTTATTATAATTTATGAGAAATTCTCATTCCAAATATTGTTACCCATGTACATGTATATGTAACACCAAATCTTATAAAGTATTCAAATGTTCAAAGCTCAGTGGTCGATTTAAAATTTTGAATTGTTGATTTTTTCGAATGGAAGAGCACTTTTAGGCATGAGTTTTTTAATCGATAAATACTCAAAAAAGAACGTTTGATTATATGATTAATCTTTTCTTCCGCTGACTAGTTTCCTCACCATTTTTTATTTGGTGCGGTTGTATTATTCTCCAAATAGTTACTAATAACTATATATAATTCTAACGTGTTTTTTCTAACATCAATGAGGCTTTAATGTCACTTTTTGCCATATTTTCTATATCCTAAGACAAATTTTATTTATTTTTTTTTAATTATTGAATTCAGTATTATTTTTAATTTTAAAAAATCGCGAAAACGCGCGAATAGCGTCATGTCTCGTCTAAGCCGAGTTGAGTTATATTAAGGTTAAGGTGGTCCTTAAAGGCTTTAATTGAACTACATAAGAATGCGTCGGTTCCATGCTTTTAATTCCGTGTTCCTGCAAATAATTGATGACGTAATACACAAAACGGGTACAAAACATATAAATGATACATCTTCCTGCTTTTAAAATTGAGTCGAGAGCTACAATAGATTTCATAAGAAAGTGAAACATGTGAAACCTTACATTATTTTTCTAATGTAAAGACATTAAACCAGTGGTTCTTCAGAAGAAGATTTAGAAAGAAGAGTTTTCCTATTTAATTTAATGTAAAACTCTGATTCCCCATTGTGACCCCGCCCAACCCCCGGGGGTCATGATTTGAACAATTTAGAATCTAAACTACCAAAGGATGCTTCCACATAAGTTTCAGCTTTTATAGCCCAGTGGTTCTTTACCCTTCGGCTCAGATGAGCTAATAAAAAGTGAAATATAACATTGTTAAGTCTACTTTCATCAGCTATCGCAAGCTGAATTCAATTTCAGGCATCAGGTGATATGTAATTGGCGTACAAGTATGTATTCGCTTTAACAAAAGAATTGACATATAGGAAAAAACAATTTTCCAGAAAAAGTGACATGTAAAAATCAATTTTCATTTGTTGTTTTCTACCGTATATATGTCTAAATTTTTTAAATTTGTATTTTATACCTAAAATTTATTATTTACAACTTTACAATAAACCTCCAAAATTGATCGAAACACCATTTTGTCCTTTAAAGCGTTGATTTTTGCATGAATCTTGGCCTTGAAGTCCATCAGGGCAGGCCTGCCCCTAAAAAAATTGTGATATTTTGATAGGTTAGAATGTAAGGCATAAAGATTTTTTAGGGGCACCCCTGCCCTGGGGTCGAAATTCACAAAAAACCTACAAAAAATAAGGAAACCAGATTTTCATAATCTGCTTTAAATTTATGCCGTTCATTCTTATAGTCAGACTAGCTCAGTTGATATGCGCTGACTTTTATACCTTGGAGACGCTCTTGTTAAAGTCGGGGGTTCGAATCCACCTGGTACAACACTTATAGAGTTTTAAATTTCGCCTTTCAAAGACTATTTTAATTTTTTTATGGACTTCAGGGGCGGATCCAGCAATTTTTGAAAGGGGGGGGGGGGGTTACAGGGTTTTGTCTTTCTAACACCCCCCCCCCCCCTTACGCACTCTCAAGCAAAGATTCACACACACGTATGGACAGATCTATATAAGGTTGTGGTAAATAATATCTTTGTTTTACGCCCCTTTTTTCTTTGGAAGCAAAGAAACACATTTCAAAAAAATACTGAAGCCTTGAAATTGAATGAATTTTTAGCATTTCCAAAGAGTACAAAGAATTTTCTTTTAGAAATGAAAAAAACCCAAACTTTCTGGGGTGGGTGGGGGTTTGGTTTAATAGTTCCCACAAAAGATATTTGATATCGCGGGAATCTAATATCAAATTAAACCTCGCATGATACATATTATTTAAATGTATAAGATATATAAAAATAAGTAGAATATTTTCTACCATTCTCTCATAAAAAAGGAATCGTGAAGGTAAATGGAAGAAAGTTACTAAATGTGTGAAAATCTCTCTAGTTCAATAGATAGATGCGTTAGACGTACAAATATGTATTCTTGGAAAACGTTTCATCTCTCTCTCTCTCTCTCTCTCTCTCTCCACTTGGCAAAAAATAAAGGGGGGTTCCAACCCCCGGAACCCCCCCCCCCCCCCTCTGGATCCGCCAATGGACTTGTGTTTTTTACCTTCAATTTTATACCCTTTATGCATGCCCATTCTTGATATAAGGAACACTAAAGAGATATCAAATCGTAAAAATCCCATGTACAGTTGTCAGTGAGGCGGAACAAACCTCAGTATTAGCACACTTTCTCAGAGGACAAGAATAACTCACTCTGTGTTACTCAATACGTGTATTCTTGGCAGCATTGAGCTGCGATGAATTTCAATTGTATATATTCCTTTAAATTTAATCAAATTGATTTTGGCTACATATTTCAGTAAATGCACTCCCTTGGATTTCATTTAGACCTTTATAATTTGCTCACATTAATTACAAGTTTTTATTATATCCACGGATAAATAGCCTAGAAATGAAGAATAGAATTTCAGAGACAGGAGACATTACCTTTATGCACAATGAGAAGTAAAGACAAATATCAATTAGGCCTATTACATTTGGAGATAACAAACTCAGAAAAGCAATAAAAAGGGTTCCTCCTATCTCTACTCACTGAAATAAAGATTTAGGGGAAAAAATTGTTATACGTATTCAGCTTAATGTCATTATTCAGAACGGACATCGAAAAGCTTTTTTGTAGAAAATAAACCAAGCCCGGTTTTATAGGTCAGATCCCTATTTATAATGAAGTGATCCCTCAAAGGACAGTGTATAACCTGACATTCCTCTGTTATATTTTGATGTTAAAAGTTAAAGCATCTACATAAGTACTCGCATTAAGTGATATAGGTTGAGTTAAGGTACATTGCTTCCTGCCATTTTTTAAATAGTACAAATCTTATTCAGCGAAAACACATGTATTATGTGGAAA